AGGCGTCTCTCCCCCTGCCCGGCACCGAGCCCGCCCGCTTTCTGTGCGTCCTGCCCGTCTGCAGTGCCTGCCTTGGGCTCTGCGAGCTCTGGAGAAGATCCCTCTGCAGGGGCCGAGGGATGCCCCAACTCCTCCCAGCTTGCTGGTGCGATGGAGACCGCCCAGCGGAGGCTTCGGAGGGATTAGCTCTGTTCCCAGGGGCGGCCGAGACAAATGCAATCTTCGAGACCAGGATCTTTTTTTCCCCTGCAGCTGCATGCCCCTTCCCCTCTCCCACCACGCTCTGCACCGTTGGCTCCCAGGCGAACGTTGCTCCAGGAGTGGATCGTGGCAAGCACCGCGGGCGACGGTTGCGCGGGGATGGAAGCGCTGCTGGGCTCCGGGACGCTCCTGCCTTCCGACCGCTGGCGAAATCCCGGGCTCTGCCGGCTCCGCTGCCGTGGCCGGGACGGTGACCCCTCACCGCGAGGGAGGGAGCGGCGCTGGGCCCCGAGCGCAGGGGGCTCTGCGGGCAGCCCCCCCGGGAGCGGCGTTCCTCCCGATAGCGGTGTGTGCGCTTAGCAGGGCGGTTTGGGGAGGCCTCGTCGCTGCAGATTAGGCTGTAGCAGGCATATCCTGTTTTCTGGGTAAAAGAGGATTTTGCGGCCAGCTTTGTTAGAGAGGCATTGAAGATTGTTCTTTGTGTGCCCTCGCGTTTGAAGTTTACACGCTGGTAGCTGCAGAGTTTCTGGATGTTCTGGTTACACGGATGACATTTATTTTTAACCTTATTTTTATTAGAGGGTTGTATCATGCGGTCCTGGCCAGCCCACAGGAAGGGCCAGGAGCTTCGTGCAGGAGGGATAACACTTCCTATCTCCGTGTAAACAGCAATTCCCCCCAGATGGGCAAAGCCGGGCCCGCTGCGGGGAGGGCTGGAGGCGGCGTTCCCACATGTGGCTGCAGGATGAGGCTTTCCCGCAGCGGGGACAGACCTTGCTCCCAGTAGCCGCAGCCCTGCTACTGGGCTGCTGGGTAGCACGGCTCTGCCCGGGGCTCGGGAGAGATGCTGGGGGCAGGAGGGCTGCTCCGGGGAGCCGTGGTGAGCAGCAGCCGGTCGCTGGAGCTGCGATGGAGCGGAGCTGGTGGCGGGGCTGCGCGGGGGAGCCGTGGTGAGCAGCGGCCGGTCGCTGGAGCTGCGATGGAGCGGAGCTGGTGGAGACGGGCGGTCAGAGCGGGGCTGGGATGAGGGCTCGGGCCATGGAGCTGCCCGGGGAAGAAGAGGACACGTCCCGTGGGATGTGCTCTGGTGGGGTCTTGGACTGAACAACACCAGGCGGTGAAAATGGTTGTTACTGAGGGCTGGGAAAGAGCCGCTGCGCTGTGCGCTGCGTGCACACCGGCACGGGAACCTGAATGCAGCAGGAACAGCACTGCGAGGAAAAGCTCCTCCTGGTCCCTGCCGCAGGGCTGCTCGAGGAGCTCGCAGCTGTCCGAGGCGATTTAATGGCGCTGGTGCTTCTCCCTACCTGCTGGAAGACTTAACAAGCACTTAGCGGTTCCGGGGGCCTGGGAATCTGGGACCCACAGGTCCGGAGAGGACAAGGTCGCACTGCTGAACACCGTAGGTCATGACACGCATCCGCTCCATTGCTTTATTTGCCCAGGATCTCCAGGCACGCTGCTGTGAAACGCAGAGCAGGTCCCGACTCAAACACCTGGGTGCCAAGCAGGAGCCAGCGGGTGCTCGGAGCCAGAGCAGAGCTCCGGCAGGGAATGGTGTTGGTTTGCCTGGCCAGGGTGGCAGAGGAGAATTTTAGGAAGACATTTGAAGTGGCAGAATAGGGTGGACAGAGAGGAGCTGGGCCGGGTGCCATAACCCAGGGACGCTGCAGAGCAGGCAACGGCCGAGCAGCCTTTGGTGGGGAGGAGGGTCCAGGGTGGGGAGTGCCGAGTTATGCGAGGAAGGGCTGGCACGGTCACTGGGAAGCATCCACAACGGAGAGTGAGGATGAGGAGTCACTTCTGAGGTGGATGGATGTTACCAGTGCCTGGGGAGTGTGACGTGATGGTGGCAGGGAGCGGGTCGGTCACCGGCTCCTCAGGTCGGAGCCCCCGGCTGAGGGGGACCAGCCAGGTGTGCCGAAAGGCTCTTGCCGGAAGGATTTTTTGCAGAAGTTTTGGGCAGTCCAGCCGTGCTGCCGACCGGAGCCCCCCCGTCACGGGGGGGCTGTGACTGTGGCAG